GTTTGAGCGAGAGGACGCGATGAACATCGCTATGTCTTCTTTTCTTCCTTTCTCTAAAAACGGTGTCGGGAAATTTGATTACATGTCTGGTTTGTTTTTGACACGCAGTTAAAGTTTGAAAGTAGTTGATAAAACATGCGTTCTCTTCACTAAAATGGTCATAACTTTTGAAAGAAGCAAAAACTGAAAATTCCCCTACACCGTTTGCTTTTTGCCTGATTTTCGGGCAACACTCTCTCCAAATTTTAGCGAAAAACTTTAAAAACTTGCCGGAAACGCACTCAAAAGGTGTGCTTCACTCGCTTAAATTTTTGTATCTGGAATACGGAGGAAAAGATACTTAAGGGCGCTTTTCCGGTGTAATGAGATATTTAAACAAAACGTGTGAAAATAATGACGCCTTGATTGATTAAGTGAAGGCTCATTTTACTTTAACAATAGAGTTCAACTACAAAGCGGGCTCAAATGTCGGTAACCCGAAAACGCTGACCCCCGTCCGCGGACCCCACTACGGACTTGTCCACGGACAACCCCTACGGACCTCCACTACGGACCACCCCAAAATAGTGTTAGAAAAATGAATAAAGATTTCACTTATGGGTTGTCTAATAGATTACTCGTGTCGGTGAAATTTCGAGTGTTACATTGTGCAAATGTAACAGACTTGGGTTTTTAACATGCTCCCCCTAACAAAAAAAAAATGCCTAAAAGCTGTTTTCAGCGTGACATGCCGATGACAAAAAGAAGGAAAGTTCTTACCTTCCATTCGTAGCTCAATATAGCCATGTAAGATGTGTTTTTAACTTGTTTAAGCTTGTTTGTATTTGTAATTCCGCTGAGCAAATTGTGAAGCCTGGAACGAGTTCGCGAACCCACGGAAGAATGGGCTGAACAAAATGGCAGAGAGGAATGAGCACAAATTTCGAGGCTTCCCAGAGAGGCTTCCCGGTCTTTCATATACTGCATGGTCACAGCAAAGGAAATGGCAATGTGTAATGACATAACTTGCGCCTGAGCCTGAACCCAAGTCTGTTACATTTGCACAATGCAGCGGTCGACATTTTGCCGACACGAGCTATCTGTTAGACAAACCGTAACTGAAATATTTATTTCTTATTTTTATTCTATTTTGGGGGGTGGTCCATAGACGGGGTCCGTAGGGGTAGTGCGGTAACCGGTCCATAGGTAGTCCGCGGACCCGGTCCGTAGTGGGGATCCGCGGACCGGCGGTCAGTGTTTTCGGTTACCCCTCAAATTTTGCCTCCGGCGGGAAATATCCTTTGCAAGATCTGAATTCCACCG